CACTCTGAGGTCCTCCCGCTCTTCAGACTCTGGCTAATCCCTTCCCCTGCGTGCAGGGGTGCTTCACGGGGCGCAATGAAGCACTGTGGCATTAGGCTGTTGCCCCTAAGCTTCCCACTCAGCAACTTTTCCTTAAACAGTTCTTCCTAAGTGCTCGTCCTTGTACATTAGAAATTCTTCCTTTTCTCGCCAGAGCCATAATCATCCAAAGGATTAACTTCTGAAAGGCCTCCAGCAGTACAACAGCAACGCGCTGAGTCAAGGGGCAGAAAGCTAGCGGAGGAAGCAAGACAGGAGAGCAGATCAGCACAAGACACTTGTCAGCTACCTGAAGAAGGTGCAGATGGCCTCTATCCTCTCCAAGACTGGCATTCCTACAGCAGTCGTTACCCCAGGGGCTGCTGCTACCACCCAGCACTGGGGGGAAAACCGCTGCTGCTCTTGTTTTCCGCCACTTTTGCTTCAGAGCCATTTTGCAGCCTGACGATTCGCACCGTGGCATGAACTGTCTTGCCAGGGCTGTGCTGCTTCAGCGCAAGCCGGCGCGTTAGCCGTGCCAAGAAAAACAAAAGCCACCCATGCCTCAGACGGCTGCAGCCTGCACCCCCCTCAGCGGGCTCACGCCTCCACCGAGGGCTGGGGGTGCTGGCTGTCGGCAGCAGATTCAGGGCCAGCGTGGAAACCGCCCCGCTAGGTCTGGCCTCCATTTCTAAGGGCAGTTTACCTGCTGCCTGCTACCACTCTCCTACTTCTTGGGCAGCCTTTCACCTTAATTCCTAGCTGGATGAAGTCACTACAGTCAGGTTACAGGAAGCGGGAAGGACTGGAGGACAAGGAGAGGAGGGAAGACAGGGAGACAGCACGGATGAGCGGAATCCTACAGGCAGAGATGGAAATCAGACCGACAGGCAGAAAATACAGCAACTCGAAGCAAAAAGAGCCCCGTGGGCATATGCATGACGGCTAGGTGCGATGCAACGAACCCTGCAGAGAGGGCTCTGAAACGCACGCCTGCCTCCTGAGATAAAGGTAAAATCTGGGTTAGGACACGGAGCACCGGGGGTCCCTACAACGCCACCCCCGCCCCAGCTCCTACCTGGTAGATACCTGTCGTGGTCGTACTCGTGTGAGCGCTGCATGTGGCTGTTCTGAGTGAAAGGCTGGTTCCCAAAGAGGTTGTCACTGCGAAGATTGTGGCAGAGCTTCTCCAGGAAGCGGAGGACGTAGGTGATACTGTTTACTGCTGGCAGGTTCAGAGTGTGCTGTTCCCGATCAAACACAGCTGGAGACAGAAACAAACAGAGCCCGACACGTAAACCCCCAGCAAAGGCAGGAGCCTACGCCCAGGGCTGCACAGCCAGCTTCTGTACCTCAGCATCACTGGTCTGGACTAGAACAGACAAAAGCCACTGCCTCCCGCTGGCTGGGCGCTGGCGAGCTCGCCTCCCGGGACAGGCTGCAACCAGCCTGCTGCGCCCAGCCTGCGGCACGGGGCTGCAGCGCCCCAGAAGCTGCCTCGGAGGGAACGCGAGGCGTTCAAGGAGGGCCCTGCGCTCCCGGCATCCAGGTAACCGGGGGCTTACAAGCAAAACTGCAAACGGGGGTGTCTCTCGTCTTCCCGCCAGGAGTTCCGAAAAGCCCACCCGTTCTGCCTCCTCCTGGGGGCTCGGGCAGCGCGGGGGCTGGAAGGCGAAGCGTTAACGCTGCCCAGGCTGCCACCAGGGCTGCAGGCTGCCTTCCCCAGCAGCTGTGCCTGCAGGCCACGCTCCTGCTGGGCTCTGAGTCAGCCGCCAGCTGTTGCTTCACTGACACAGATGTTTGGCAAGAAAGAGAAGACAGAAATCTTCTGTCTGCCTCTGGCCCGGGACTGCACCAAGCTTCAGGAGAGGCATCTGCCAACGAGCGAATCCTTGCAATGACAGCTCCGAAGGCAAAGTGCTGCTGGCCAGTTCTCACCTGAGATGACCTCTCCCCCGTGGCCTTGTTTTAAGAAGGAGAAGACTGTTTTCTGATGATAAGCGCAATCAATGCAGGCCTGTACTGCTTGCTGCAGGACAACAGAAGCTCGAGCTGGTCCAAAATGGTCTGGCAGCTGCTGAACTTTCTTCTTGTCTAGGTGGGGCCCAGTGCTGCCGTTCTTGTTCAAGTAAATACAAACTGCCAAGATGAGAAATGTGTTTGCCATTAACCCACTCAAGAAAGCAAGAAACAGATGCCTAAAATCCAGCCTGAGAGATGCTGAGATTTTACGACTGTCAAACCACTCACAAACGGGAATCCACCACGACTGCCCGTCTGCATCCTAACAGCGGAGCCACTTACAGAGGGCAATCACCTCCAGAATCTCCCTGCCTCACACTCGCCTTCCAAGCTGCTGCTGTTGCTCCCACGCTTCCCCCAGCACTCAGGCTCCCACAGGCGGGCTGCGAAACGGCTCCCCTGCCAGCCAGGTAAGGCGGCTGCGACATTCAGAGGAGATGAAGGAACGCAGCCCCGGCTTTTTAGGGAAACTGGGTTCTTTAGGTTCCTCTGAAAACTGGCCAGTTACCATCTAGGGAAACAGCGGGCTCAGCCCATATCCAGTGCTTGACCGAACACACCAAAAGCAGCTTTGCATTAGACTTTCCTGCCCTACGCCTCACAGCCGCAGCAGACCCCACGCTCTGCACTGCTGCTCCTACCCCTCCCCTGCTCCCTCTCCTCCCTGTTCGCCCTGATATCCTGGCTGAGGCCGAACAATCGTTGCCCCTGTCGTTCAGCAGTGGCTCTGCACCTTGCTGCTCGGGAGAGCTCGCGCTCCGGAGCCGCACGAGGTGCTGCACGCTGTACTGGGAACACTGGGCCGCGAGAGGTGCGCTTCGAGAGCTGCGGAGTCCTTAGCATGCAGGCGGTAACGCCGGGAAAGGGGTCCCTGCACTGGACAGGTGGCCCTGCCATCTTCCCATGACTTCATTACTTCCAACAGGGACAGAGAGAGAACCGATTTGCCCGCGTGCCTCTTCCCCTCCCGAGGCTCCCTCTGTCAGCCAGCCTTTCTGGAGCTGTAACGCTGGCTGGTTCAGGGGCTTAGGAAGAAACGGGAGTATCTCGGTGTGTCGCTTTCTGACGGACGCAGCTCCTAACTGTGCAATCTTGCCAAGAAAGCATTTCGAGACCCTTACCTGTGGGAGCCTGCATGGCAGAGCTGGGGATTGTAGCAGCGTCCTGGGGCACAGTGCTTGTGTCTGGTTCTGGGGTACTGGTTGTTGGAGAGGTGGGTGCTGGGTTCAGCAATGTCCTAGGTTTCCTCTGCAGAAAAAGAGGAGATATTTCTCCTTTTATCCCTGCTCTCCTTTACCATCCATGATCACTACACTCTCTCCTCTGCATCCAACAGACAAGGCACTGTGGAACATGACACACTTCTGATGGTGATGACGGGGAGTCTCAAGAACCTAGTAATCAGTACGTGTGCGTTTTATAAACCACAATCCTGAAAAAATAACAAGCCTGAGATCTGCCACCTCTACTTGACTTAGACCAGCTACCCACGATGGACGGAAGAGCTAATTCCACCGTTTGGCCATCCTGTCGTGATCACAGCATCTGCCATGCTACTTCACAGCTAACGAAGCTTCGCAGCTCCAAAGACACAGTCTCTTGATGGAAATGATCTTTAGGACACAGACATTCTCTACCGCTCTGGGGCTGGACTCTGAGGGATATTCCCAGCCCACGCGCCCCTTCGGTCTCCTACTTGCTGCAGTCACACAGCCAGAGGCTGAGACAAACGTGCACAAACACACGCATGCACCATCCCATGGCAGAACTTGCAGCACCTGCTTTTCACCCGCCTGCATCAGCATCAGCTTTTACCTTACTGCCAGGCTTGGGGCCTCTCTTTCTGGGGAATTTCAAAGGCTCCACTGACTTGGAGGGTGTAGGCATGGGGTGATGGATTAGCGCTTTGGTCGTTCGACCACGCTTCTTCCCTGTTTTGCGACGCCTTTGCCCTTGTTGATGCCCCAAAACAGTCTTTGTGCTACTGTGCATGCTAGGTTTCTCCGAGTTTACTTCGGAGGCAGGTAAAGGGCTCTTTGGAATCACAACTGAAATAAAAAGAGAAAAAGCAAATGTAATTAAATCAGGCGAGAATCAAAACAAGAGCAGCCTCCATCGTTATACAGTGTCACATGGGAAAACCTGGAGTATCCACAGCCCCTGAACGGAGGCTGCTGCTCTCCATGCCAGAATAAAAACCAAACGCACTGATCCTTGGTTCCAGCACTCGAGCTACGAGACACTGTGGCTTAGCCTGAACGGGCTGAACTCCAGAAGGATCACGCTTTCAGCCGTACCTTTCTTCCTGAAAGTAACTGGCACCTACACCTCTTCCTTCTGCGAGTGGTGACCTGCCGGCGATCCCACAAAACGCACGGGAAGCATTCCTAGGGGAAGGATCAGTCAAGACCTGCCTGACAGTCACAGAACCAGCGCTGGGCTGGAAATTCCCTCTCTCAAGGCAGCAGTCAAATTTGCTCTGTCCCTAAACTACCAGGGAAATGCAGTGGAAGGCACCAGCTCCACCCGTGGGGCCTGCGAGGACTGTAGCTCCTGGCCCCGAGCCACGGCTCATCTCAGCTGGATCAGCCGTCCTGCCCCTCTCACGCACTGCCGGGGGCAGCGAGGTGCCAGCACACAGTCCATGCCTCCTCATCTTCTCACACGCTCCATGACAAAACCAGGTTTCTGGAGTGTTTGCCCACAGATCCCCTCAATTTGGTCATTCGTCTTCCCCAAGTCCTGCTAAGGGCTAGAGATGAGCTGGCCCAGCCCAGCAGACCAGTACTTCCTTTTCATTTAAACGTCTGCTAAAAAGGAACAACCCAAAACCCTCCTAGATTTTGAAAAAGTGCACACCGATCTTTAGGACGCCTTGTGTCTCAGCCCTGGAAACCTGACTGTGTACTCAGCATGGGGGCTCCCAGTTAAAAAAACCCCCACGCTCTTGAAGTGAGGGCTTTATCGTTTAAGGAGAAAATCTTGGCCAAGGAAACAGGGTGCACTGAAAGACTGACAGCAGGATGGCACGCAGCCCTAAGAGTGGCACAACTGTGGGTATATAAAGAGATTGTAAAAGTTTTTTCAACGAGGGTTTTGTGAGCAGTTACTGCGAGCAAGGACTCATTCCCTTCGCGCAAAGACACCGTTTCGTGCCGACAGAAGCAGTGAAGTGAGCTGGGTCCAGCTTTCTGGGGTCTGGAGAAGATCAGTGGGCTGCGAGGTGACAGCAGCAAAAGCCCTGAGTCGGGGCAGGGAGGTGACAGCCCTGTGAGCTACTTCACCGCTAACCAAAGCGCAGACCGAGTGAACAGCGTGAAACCACTGACTCGTTTAGGTTGGAGAAGACCTTTAAGACCATTAAGTCCAACCATTAACCTGGCACTGCCAAGCCCACCACTAACCCACGTCCCTCACACCCACATCTACCCGTCTTTTAAATCCCTCCGGGGCCGGTGACTCCACCCCTTCCCTGGGCAGCCTGTTCCAGGGCTTGACAACCCCTCCAGTACAGAAATTTCTCCTAATGTCCATCTAACCCTCCCCTGGAGCAACCTGAGGCCATTTCCT